GTGGGGGACTGGATTTGATATAGAAAAATGAAACTTATAACATTTTCCTAAATCACTAGATGGCAATTCTTGCTAGGATGACAATTCTTATTGTGTACAGTTCGAACATTGTGGATTTCTTCTCATTCATTTCCTTATATAGCAATCTAACACATAATAACCTCTTTTAGAGTGCTTTGCTGGAAGGCACACATAAGGAAGCGGTCAGCCTACTCTTCTTAATGCCAATTGGTACTTCTTAAAGAAAAGCTGTATTGAAGAATATTGCTGGGATTTTTAAATGTGGGAACCAGGACTGTGAAGATTGACATGAGGGAAGATGTCATGGTTCCATGAGAGGCCAGGAGGCGTTCTTAGGCCAGCCTCAGATGGAACAGGAAGTAGGTAGGTCTAGGAAATCAACTGCAAGACTTGTCAGCAAAGACTCAAGAAGTTTAATCACATCATGAAGGATGACGTCAGTGAATACATCTTCACATGACATTTACGAACAATACCATGAACTCTCAATGCACCACACCCTCATCATTTACCCAGCTACATTCAGCAGCATTCAGGGGTCAGGCCAAACATCCAGAAGCTCCACCTCAACCTCACACGCCTAATAATGCCATCAGACTCTCTCTCCCTCCTCAATGCCTCCACATACTAACAGCCATTCAGCACATTACTCAAATGTAACACTGCAAAATCACTGACATTCCTCCACCTTGCTTGCAGAACAAGATGCTGCAAAATAGAAGTGAAAGGAGTGCAACTGACAGGAGACAACAACGCTGCATCTTCCAATCCATACTTTATGTTCCTCCTCAGCTCAAGCTACTTTGTTAAGCTACAGCAGCCCAGGGAAGAAAAGAAAGCAATAACATTTGCAGTAACCTGTTTAGATACTGCACAAAACTAGGCTGCTATTCTCAGGTTGGTTCAGCACATGTGCATCCAGGTAACAGTGGGCTGCAAGTGAAGTCGGGGAAAAAGTTAATGAATTCAATAAAGAATGAGGTTGTAGATGAGTTTGGCTGCAAAGGATTCTGAATTTCTCAATGGGAGAACATACAGGAGACCATCAACGGGTTTACACACTGTGATACTGAGTAAATTGGCTGATCTTCCAGGTAAACTCCAGTCAAGAATAGATAAATTGGCTCTAAGATGGGAGGGTATGTATAGAGCTTGCCCTCTCCACGGGTTTTATTTTATCTCTGTCATGCTGCAGACATAGAGGTACTGCGATTGCTCCTGTCATATCTTGTATAATCCCTGCGTGAATAAGCCAACTAATCCTTTGTCCTCCTTGTGAAGGTTCAGTAGCACTTGCAAATCCAAACATTTACCACAACACTTCCAACATATTCTAGGGTACATCCACATTGCCAAATGCAGAGGTTTGCAGAAATTATTTTATCTCCAAGATATATGCTTGATCCTTTAAAATAAAGGGTAGCATGCAATTCATCATGCAGCTGAGTGCTATTGTTTGCAGAACTGTGGAAGCCTAGCTGTATTACTTTGGGACACACAGAGCTATTAGTCACTTCCAACAAGGCATGCACCAGAAACCTATGAAAGAGGGCAATATTGATATCACACAGGCAAACTAGCTGATAAATCACCAGGATTTCCAATTTGGACAATCTGGGACAATTTCAGCATAATAAATTTGATGTTTCTGAGACTTAAGATTCTAAGTTATGAACAAGAAAAAGCTCACGAATCTAAACTTATTCGCAAAGACACTTATAGTTGATATGATCAAGGTCTTTCAAATGACAGGAGCAGCAGGTGATGCAGATAATCTTGTTATCTATCTTCAAGGAGTGCAGAATTCGATGATAAAAGATGAACATAAAATTGTGCCAAGGTTATCAGAATTCTTCTTTTCCTCAAGTTCTAGGTGAAACAAAATTAATTGAAGCAGTGCCAATAACTCCCTTAAAAATAATTTGAATACAGGTTGAATATAGAATTAGAACTGTAGGCTGTAGCAAAGAGTTTTTGACTGAATGGACAACATATTCCATCAGATGCGATTGTTCCTGAGTAGACAGGGCCAAGAAGGTATATTGTCTGTGGTATACAATTAATCTAAGCTGAGTACATAAATGCACAAATGCCTAAAGATTCTGGGCTTTTGCATATTTTCTTAGAGAAGGAAATGCTTGTACAGGAATTTGAGGAAAAATATTGAATGACCACTCAGGTTTCAATTTTGCTCTAGTTAGACATCGTTTTGGCATTCGTACATTAGTATAAAACATTATCAGAAGTAAATGCTACTTAAAAAAAAACAAGAAATTATTTTATTCCATAAATGTAAGTGTTATAGAAGCATATTGTAAAATTGTCAAATAAAAGAAATTCAATGGTACTTTCAGCAACTCATCCTTACAAAAGAAAAATACTGCAAATGCTGGAAATTGGAAAATAAAACAGGAAATGTTGTAAATACTCTGAAGATCAGGTAGTATGTGTAGAGAAAGACTAACAGTTTATATTTCAGATCAATGACCTCTTGTCAGAACTGGAAAAACGGATTTTAACAGATTTTAAGCAAGTAAAGGCACAAAGAGGGAGTGTAGGAATAAAAAGGAACATCTCTGACACATGAAAAGCAGGAGATTAAATGATAAAAGGGATGATGATGCAAGGCAATAGAAAATGACAACGGAACAAGAAACAAAAGATTGGTCTAGACGAGGTGTGAATGGGAAACAGTAGAATTATTTTGTCCTCCAAAAGAAAACAAAATAGGGCAGAGGTAGTAGTTATAAGGAGAGGCTGGATAGGTTGGACTTTTTTTCCTGGAGCATAGGTGGCTTAGGGGTGACCATATTAAAGCTTATCAAATCACAAGGGGCCTAGATAAGGTGAATAGCCAAGTTCTTTTCCCTAGGGTAGGGGAGTCCAAAACTAGAGGGTGTAGGTTTAAGGTGAGAGGGGAAAGATTTAAAAGGGACCTAGGGACAACTTTTTCATGTAGCAGGTGGTGCATATACGGAACGAGCTGCCACAGGAAGTGGTATAGGTGGGTACAACTACAACATTTAAAAGACATTTGGACAGATTTAGAGGGATATGGGCCAAATGCAGGTAAATGGACTAGTGCTGTTTAGAAAACCTGGTCGGAATGGACGAGTTAGGCTGAAGAGCCTGTTTCTACACTGTATGACTCTGTGTACTTGTTGAGTTCAATGTTAAAACCAGGAAACTGTAAACTGCCTAATTGTGGAGTAGGTGATATTCCTCAAGCTTACATTGATTCACTGGAACAGCAAGGGAGCAACAGTCAGAGTATGGTGGGACAAAGTATTAAAATGGCAGGTGACAAGAAGCTTGTGAACAGATATGTTCTGCAAAGCAGTCATCCAACTTGCATTTGATTGCCCAAATGTTGAGGATGCTGCTTTGTGAGCAGTAATACAAGTGAACTTGCTGTTTTACCAAGTACTAGGTGGCATGGACAGTGGGGAGGATGGCACAGGGGAAATGTCAACTGCACTCACATGGACCAGTGCCATTATAAAGAGGAAAGTCTGTTGGGGGTGATTTAGGAATTGTTCGGGATTTTGAATCTTTAAATATTTCCAGTTTTGATGAAAGGTTAATTATGTTTCTCTGTCCACAGTTGCTGCTTGGTTTTCAATTTCCAGCATTTTTGGTTTTATTTTGTTCTTCTAAATTCACTTTCTTACTTTTGTGATTTAGTGTGGTAAAAAACTATGAAAAAATCTTTTTGTGAAATACACATATCTTATAAATCAAACTATCTTCAAAATGTCACTGATGTTCAAATTTATTTTTAAGTCCTTTCTGTGTGGTATTTTGTAACTGTTCGTGTTGAACATAAATTATTAATGAGGCAGAATATTAAAAGTTAAGACCAGAAGTGAATCCATGTTTGAAATGGAAATGTTACCCTGCAGATTGTATCACTGGCTACAACCCACAGTCCAAATAATGACACTTATGTACTGGACACAAATTGATTTATAAATGTAATTTTTTCATATCAACATCATTATGTGAGCCTCAAAGGCTCAATTTGATTATCTTTTAAAATTTAAGGCATTAAAACAGACTAACTTTCACATAGAGAAAAATATAACAATGATTGGAAAACTTAGCACAATTTAACCTGTGGAAAAATATATATGTATGCCATGGTATGGCAACTGAAACAATTTTGACTATATTTTTTCTATAAAAAATACAGTGTCAATAATTGTCAAAACAAGTGAATTATAATTTGAGAAGGAACATTCATGCATAACGGTTAATTTTATTAAAAGGTGGAAATTGTTTTTTCTTGTAGCTGGTGAAAGGAGGGTAAAGGTCAGAATATAAAAAGGTTGCTTAAGGAAAATGAAAATTAAGGAAAATAACTATTTTTCATCAATAAAATGTAAATTTTGCAGCATATCTCACAGAATTGACATTTTCACTCATTATTACTTATCTTAGCTTTACTAGGTTTATTCTCCATAATATAATTCACAAACTTACCTTTCTCAAACTCTGACACAAACTCAGTCAGTCATTTATCTCAGGTTTGGAAAGGATTTTATCCACTAAATGCAGAGATTTAAACTGACTAGCTTGCTAAAGGATAGCATATATAACTTTTTCATAATTTTGGCCTTCATTATTTATTTTTAAAGTTAGCCTTCAGTGCATTATTTTTGTCAAATATGGTACTGTGAAATCAGTCTTAAAAAGAGCATATTATCATTAAGATCCTTTTAAAAAAGACCAAGTGGTTTCAAGGTTCACAAGAACAACAGCAATATTCTTTAATTTTTCTGATGGAGACCGTTTAGTAGTGTATGCATGCAAATAATGCAACTGGTGGCTAAATTACTGAGTCCAATTGTGAAAAAGCTCAATTATATACACTTTATATGTTAATATAATAACATAAATTCAAAGATGCTTCAAATTTGTTAATTTATCAACAACATATCATCAAGCTTATCAACTCTTCTAAGTTTGCATTGCTCCACAATAGTGTCATTAACACATTTCAAACAAAATTTTTAAAAATGAATTAAAGAAAATGAAACAACATGTATTAACATATTATTGCACTTTTGTATCTATTTTTTCCACAGGGAGACCGACGGTGAAACTCTCTATACAAAAATCATTCAACAATAAATGAATGATTCAGTGTTGAACATTTATTTGTATATCACCTTTTGAATTAACTGCAGATGATCATTATAGACTGTAAATCAAAAGGAAATTGAATATTAAAGAGACTGCTTAAAATTACATTAAAATTCCAAGAAAGCTGAACATTTTGTTAGAAAATATTCCATGAGAAAAACAAATATTACATTGCTTGAATGCTACCAAACCATCTGCAGAAGCAGCATGTAACCAGTTTCACAAACATCCCTTTAAGGGATAAATCTTAGCAACAGATGGAGGTTTTCTAGACACAAATTAGCATTAAACATTAAATTAAAATGTTAAGAGAATACAAAGTACATTTTGACAATAAACAGCAAACTTCTGTACAATTAAAAAATGGATTCTATGATTTTTTTCTTAATGATCAAGTCTTTAAGTTTTCTATACAGAAATTGTGAATGTATCATCAACAATTATAACCATTTCATAAAGTTTCAAGATGCACTTATTTCCAAGGCTTCATGCATAGCCAAGGTTTTCCATCTCATTGCGATATCGTTGCTCTGACACCTTGCTCTTATGCAATTTGCTTTCAAGATGAAGCCGAAATTCTTGTTCCTCACTGGCACCAATATTACACATGGAACAGTAGAACTGTCCACTTGGTGTCACACACATTGCTAAGTCACGTGGAATCCGCTGACGGGAGCGTGGATTAGAGTAAGGACCTAAATAATGATAAATTAACATAAATTGATCTTGAATAATTTCGAGAAACATGTGACAAGATGCCGCCAACAACCTCTGTTCTAGAATTAAAGAGTTTACGATTCTTCAATTTATTCATTTTTCTGTTAACAGTTGTGACCAAACTTGTTAATTATTACATTTTCCCTTTTGTAAGTTTTTTGTGGAAGTATGATACAGTTATCAAAATAGAACATAATACATGTTCAAGTTGGGCCTTTGTGACATATCTGCTATTATGCTTGAATTTGAATCCATGTCTCTGCAATAATTCATATTATTTATCGTATTTTTGTATCCATTATTTTTTAAATACACAAAATTTTAAAGTTAGCTTTGATAGATGTATAATTTGTCACCAGTCTTCCAAATTGCATTCACAAACAAAAGCAGAAATTGCTGGAAAACAGAATTGAGGTTTTGGGTACGGTGACCCATCTTCAAAACTGGAATTGCATTGCCAATGTAAGCCCTTTCACAAATCCATTGTTGTGTCTTTTGTTTCTATTGCCTCCCCACTTTAATGTTATTAATAAATTTAACCAGCTTGCAGGTCCAGATCATGAAACAGATATGTGGGGTAAGTGAAGTCTACTAGCATAATAACATTTCTATTTGAATCAAATAACAGCATATTTTGAATCACTGCAGATCTGCATGTGAGAAGTTTCAATCCTTTCAAACAATTCTGCACCTTTTCCACAGGATCAGATGCCTTGCAATAGATCAAAATATCTCACTACAAACTTGTAATGGAGTTAAAACTCTAAACATCATGTTAATTGTAAACAACTGGAAATCATATTTACTGACATGAGACTTCCTTATTTAATCAAAAGACTATTATCTTCAAATAATGTCCTAATACCGTCAAACTGGCATCAATGGCATAGATCCGTCAACATTCTACAAGTTATTCCAATGTAGCAATTTTGACACAAATTGACTGGTTTCAGTATGAATTATGGGTCGACACATGGAATAAAAAGCCACTCCATGACATGGATTCATAGAATCCCTACAGTGTGGAAACAGGCCCTTCAGCCCAAAAACTCCACACCAAACCTCAGAGCATCCCAACCAGACCCATCCCCCTGTAACCCACCTAATCTACACATCCCTGAACACTATGGGCAATTTAGCATGGCTAATTCACCAAATCCGCACATCTTGGACTGTGGGAGGAAACCCACTCAGGCACGTGGGGAATATGCAAACTCCACACAGAGAGTTGCCCGAGGGTGGAATCGAACCCACGTCCCTGGTGCTGTGAGGCAGCAGTGCTAGCCACTGAGCCACCATGTTGAAGTAAGTACAATGACACATCAAAGGGACAAAGTTCATAAGAACCACTAATGGGAAAAATACATTTTGAAGGAAAAATTAAATGAGCTTGTAAAGAGGAAAGCAACAAAAGGTATGCCATTAAGAGTTAGATGCAGAGGAGCCTCATATAGAGCATAAACATGGGTATAGATGGTTAGTCCAAATGGCCTGCTTCATTTATATAATCAAGTAATTCCAATTATAATCCAATGTTCAGTAACTTTATTGGCAGTATAATATAAATTCCTCTCCTTCATAAGAATTGGCAGAATTTAATAAACGTCTTCTCTCAAAGAAGATAGCGAACCTGGAATTCCAGAGTGGTGTCATGGCTGGATTATTACGTATATTCAAGGTTGAGGCAGATTTTTAATCAGCAAGGGAATCAAGGGTCGTAGAGAAGAGGCAGTGGATTTGAGAATTATCAGAATAGTCACGACTTCACTGAATGGCAAAGCAGGTTGAAGGGTTGAATGGCCTACTTCTGCTTCTACATCTTATGATCTCAAAGTCAGCATGTATTGAAGACTATCATTCACTTGCCTTAATCATAGAATCCCTACAGTGTGGAAGCAGGTCATTTGGCCCATCGCATCCACACCAACCCTTCAAAGAGCATCCCACCTCAACCCACGCTCCTACCCTATCCCTGCAACCCTGCATTTCCCATGGCCAATCCACTTAACCTGCACATCTTTGGACTGTGGGAGGAAACCAGACCACCCAGAGGGAACCCACACAAAGACAGGGAGAATGTGCAAACTCCACTCAGTCAACTGAGGGTGGAATCGAATGCAGGTCTCTGGCACTGTGAGACAGCAGTGCTAACCACTCAGCTACCGTGCTGCCCACAATGGTAGGAAGATATAATGGTAATATTCTAGATCCAATCTATGACACATGCTGAGTTGACTAATTTTTCCTCAGGTAGCAATAACTAGAATTTATTTATCAGATCTGGTTTTAGAACTGTAAGGGGAATGTAGAAAAAAAGCCTCAATTCCTGCTTGACAGTTACCATATGACTTTATCCTATAGGTATTATCTTGTAGGTATTAGATGAGAATGGGATTGGGCTTCCCACTCCCATTATCAGAGACCAGCAGACATCCATTGTCCAGGATCGCATGAAAAATTCCTACTTGTGTGAAGTCCTAGAGTATTGTCAATACCTATGGATCCACACAATCAATATAGCAATCATTAACTGAGCAAGAAAAAAGGTAAGAAAATTAGGGATGGAAAAAAGGGGGATTCAAAAGAAGTGTGTTTTACAATTGTAATTTTATTGTTCCCTAATTTCTTTTGAAAGTAGAGAGTTTTACAATCAATTATTTCCCTCTCAATTCTCGGTCCACACCCAAATTGATGACAGGAACTGTCGACAAAATGGGATTCAACCAATAATTTATTGTTCATATTTGCAACTAATATTAAAAGAAACCAAAATCTTAACGATGCTACCTTCAACAATACCAAATTAAAATGTATAGTCCTGTCAACTGAATTCTGCAAGTGTTTGATGTCTGCCACATCCTTGTGGTAGCAGTTTCACCTCAAAATCAGAAGGTAAAGGTTTAAGTCATACTCCAGGGATTAATCTAGGCTAACGCTTCAATGCAGTTTTAAGGGAATACTGTCAGAAGTGCCACCTTTCAGATGAAACATTAAACCCAATGCCTAACTACCTTTTCAAGTGGATGCAAAAGATATTTGATCAAAAAAAATTGAGTTCTTCGAATGTACTGAACATGACTAAAATTATGTCTTGTTGCTGTAAATTTCTATGTAGCAAATATATAACATGTTTTGAAACAGAAAATAGTACATACCTAGTGTGTTTTGAACTCCATGTAGATTGCGACGATTTGGCACAATTTTAAATTCATTCCCTTCTTTCCTTGGTCTTCTCTTTGTGAGCTCTGTTGCCTCTCTGCAAAATTATGATAATTGTTAGTCAAATATATAACAAGTGCACAATTTGTTTAAATAGTTCATAGCAATCCTCTTTTAATTGTATTCCGATTAAAATATTTAGCAAGTGCAAAGCTTTGAACTTTGAACAAGAACAGTTTACAATTTTAGTAATTGACAGCACAATTTTCAATTAAATATCTCTTCAAATGAAGGAAGATATAAAACTTGCAACTAAAAGTGCTCAATCCAAGTATTATCTCATCAAACTTTAATATGGATAAACTGGAAAGATGCTAAATTTGAAAGTTTCTACATAAAATTTAAGATTACAGAAAATACATGCGGCACGCAAGCCTAGAATAGCACCACTTCAAAACAGACCTAGTAATCCATACCAACCAGAACCAAGTTGATGACAGAATCACCACCAATATACATATCTCCAGGCTTTTCAACCAAACACGAGCCAGACAGAAAGATTGTAATTACATTTTGTTGTCTGTTTTATCCCAAGCAATTATCTCAGTTCAAATTGGAAAATTCAGGGTTTAAGAGAGAATATTTGTGGGCTGTTTAACTACAAATAAATTGCGATCCTGTCCCTATCATATTCTGCACAGCACGGGTCAGTGATCAACGATTAAAGCTGAGTCCCTTGGCTAATTTTCCCCTCACAGGACAATATCCAGCTTGAGATCACTGAAAGAAAATTAGGATCAAACCTTATTGCTTCCTTATGATTGACAGAACCAGTGAATAAGATCTCTAAGTGATCAGGAGGATTACTGTATTTTTATGATAAATGTTCTGGGCTTTAAAATGATGCAGTAGGTTACAAATACATGTTTGTCTAAAAACCTGCTCTTCATCATTTTAGCATAGGTGTGAACCTATGCTAAACTGATGTTGTATTACTCCAGAGACGCAAGCAAAAAAATCTAGATGAACACTTCAGTGAAAAGCTACACTGTCGAAGGTTCCATCTTTCAGATTTTAATTTGAAGCACAGTCCCTTATACCTTTTCAGTGAATGTAAAAGATCCCATGTCACTATTTTGAAGACTAGCAAAATAATTAGTATTGATATCCTGGACAATATTATCCCTCAAAAACACCATGGAAACAGAGTATCTAATCATTATCATCTTGTTGTTTAGGGAAGCTTGCTGAGCACAAATTGACTCCTGATTCTCCTAATTTACAACATTTCAGAGGCACTTCATTGACTGTAAAACCCTCTCGAACAGCCTAAGTCTTAAAAAATCCTATATAAGTGCAAGTATTTCTTTCTTGTTTAGATTTGAAAGGCTAAGAGGAGATTCTATTAAAATGAATCAAAGCTGAGCGGCTAATATGACAGCATTAAATGTATTTGAATAAAGTGCTGCCAGTTGAAATATTTCCTGATCAGATTATTCCAGCCCCATTTCATTCTACATTTAAAAACAATTTGTGATAAGGTTGATCACACTGATAAATCTTTGGTCGAATTTGCATTTATGTAGTTCTGATGATTTCACAATTAGCAACCTCATTTAAATCTGTTTTTCAGGAATGCAGATTAAGGGTGAATTACTGGGCAGTTAATTTGGAGCATTGCCTTCAGGCATTTTTATGGTCAGATGAATAGAAGGATCCTCGGTTTCATGTTCTAGCTGAAAGAAGATACTTCCAAAAGATGCAACATTCCTTTTTTGCTGTAATTAAGTGTTGTTTATGTGCTCACATCCTGGGGAGGGGTTTCAACCCACAAATGTCTGACTCAAGAGTTCAAATGCTACCATTAAGCCAAGCTGAGATCATAAATTTCATTTAAGCTGTTAGGTAATTCATAAAATAATGAGATATTTAATCACATGGTCACAAAGTTTTTCTGCTAGAATGTGAATAAAAGTATAACCTGAAAAAATATAATGAATAACTTCTTTCAATGTGCAGCACAGAATTCATAAAGCAGTTGATTAGCAAAATTTACATTCTATTGCAAAACCTTTTTCCCATTTCCCATCATCATTCATGTGTGCCTGTTGTTCAGGTTAAAATGTTCTCAAATTACTTTCCTATATTTAAGAAGTCCAAAATATCGGCAATTCACCACTTACATGTCTGGTGTGTTTGGTGTGTTTTCAGCCTACTAGATTAATTCTGTATCAATTTAAAACATAACTGCTCTTAATTGCCATTTTCAAAAGAATAAAGGTTTGATTTCATGTGTGCATCAATGCAGAAGTGGCAGTGTAACGTGGGAGACTATGAAGCACACTAAAGCCCAAGGGAAGGAGAGCATCTCTAGGAAGGTGACTTATAGATATTGCAATTACACGAAGCCTAATGCAGCTACATCTTTAGATTACCAATCACAGTAACTGACATTTTGCTGACATCAGTTTAAACACTAGACGAGTGCATAGTTTTCATCTGATACTTGAATTTACTACAGATTAAGACAAAGAAACCATCTTTTTCTAACAAGAAGATCAATGAGTTTAACTTAAAATGCTACTAGTGGAACTGTTTTTGAAATGTAAGCCTTCATAAGAATTAATATGGATACTTCACTAATAATGAATGATAATCAGTGTCAGTTTTAGCAAGCAAACTAACAAAATACCTTTTTATTGTTTTATACCTTCAAGATGCTGAAGATAAATATAAAGTAAGATTAGTTACCTTTGATATGGTCCTCCTTATTCTTCAAATGTAGTTTATCCACCATGTACCTTAGGATATGCCTATTTTTTTTCTGGGAGAGGGGGTAAAAATCAATAGACCAGTGCCCCTTGGAGGGGTTTTATGCTTATTGAAATCATAACAGTCAACTAATTTCCCTCAGTACTCTAAAACAAAAAGGTTTGCCTACAGTCCAATCCTCCATACTATGAGATTGAACTGAAGGCATCACTACTCAGAGAAGAAAATGATAACAGTGTTAAACAATAAATATATTTGAGATAGAGTTAGAAATAGTAAAGGAGCATATGTGCAAGATATGTTGAAAATAAAATACATTTCAAGAATGAGGAAGATTACTCAGGAGGTGTGGTCTTAATTTCTTCCATACTTGTTTTTCCTTCACATACCTTAGATCCTCAGCCTAACCATCTTCAGCTGCTTTATCAGTGATCTCCCCTCCATCATAGTGTCAGCAGTGGGGCTGTTTGCTGTTGATCCTAATGTTTTCTTTCAACTCCATTCACAATGGCTCTGTAAATGAAGCAACCCATGCCTGCCTACAGTATGATCCTGGATAACATCCAGGCTTGACCTGACAAATGCAGATAACGTATATCTTATAAATACTAGAAATGACCACCTTAGCAAAAAAAAATTGTCAGCCATCAACCATGGCACACAGCAGTAACTACTCAATTGCCAAATTTCTACATAATCAATATCTTGAGGATTACCATTACTCAAAAAAGCTAAGTGGATTCATCAGATCAACACAGTGGCTACAAGAGAAGGACAGAATCTGGTATACTGCTTTAAGTGATTCACTTCATGAACCATCAAAACCTCTTAACTATCTCAAATAAGGAGTGTGATAAAATGTCCACAATTTTCTCAGATGATTGAAGCAGCAGCAACAGGAAATAAACTGAACAATTCAGAAGAGAACAGCCTATTGATCAATTCCTGTGCAATTGATATTCATCACTGGACCACCGTGGTTGCGGTATGTTCTGCCATAACTCACAAGTTCACTTTGACAGCATTTCCTAATCCTGAAATCTCCACCATCAAACAAATTCTCCTCCAAATCACACAGTATCCTGGCTTAGGCATATATCATTATAACAGCAGAGGGAAAAAAGAGCAAGGATAAGCCATTTAGCCCTTCAAGTCTGCTCAGTCATCTAATAAGATCATGATTAATCATCTGTCTCAACTCCAGCATCCTACAGTATCCCCACAACTCTTAACACCCAAATATCTAATAATATGTTTCTTGAATCTACTCAATGACTGAGGACCCTCAGCTCTGGGAAGGGAGTTCTCAATGTTTTGATTAGGAGAAACCTCTTCACTCACAGTCCTAAACGGTCAAAACCTTGTCCTAAGACTCTGACTCATTGTTCTAGACTCTCCAAACAGGGAAACATCCATCCAAAATCTACTCTGTTAAATCCCTTAAGAATTGTATATATTCCAATTAGATCGCCTTTCATCCTTCTTAGTTTGAGGGAATGGAGGTATACTTGACTCAATCTGTCCTCATTGGGCATTTCTCTCAATTTAGCAATATCCCTTCACTGTTGTCGGGTAAAAAAATCCTGATTTGTCTTAATTATCGCTCCCGTAAGAACATGCAGTTAAAAAAAAATTACCATTCTCAAAAGGCAACAAAGGATAGGCAATACACAGAGCCCTGCCAGCATTACCCTATACACCAACAACAAAAATGACCTTAGCATTTAGGGACAGAATTATTTTGATTTAAGGTTACGGTCTTCTGAATCAATTTACAACAGAGTAGTTTTGGATAAACATTCACAGTAATATTTATTAAAGGTGTTCACTTTTATCAAATCTATTCCCTCAAAACCAATCTAAAATATCTATATTGATGTTAACACATTGAGATTTCTGTGTTGAACTGACCTTTTCTCACAAAGATAAACATTCTATGGTCCTTAGCTTTATGAAGTGGTAATCTCAAGTTTTATTACCAGAAAATATAAATGATCTTATTTCATTTCACAATTAATCCTATAAAATGTAAACGCAGTAAGTTTACACAGAATATGTGTCTTCAATCATTCGTGATATTACTAGCTTTGAGGCTTGATTGAAATAAATATTGCAAATATATTTTGTTAGAATATCATAATACATGATTATAAATCCCACACCATTAAACAAGTGTAATTCATTTGGTGGTGAATGTTTTGAGCTTATTTTCTATATTAAAAATTACTTGACAAACATCGATTTGAGTTTGTTTCTCTTAACAACTAAATTATCAGTATCAGATCATGGAAAATAATGGGTTTAACTGCCATTCTGAGACAATGATCCCAGCTTATGAAGATTTAGATAGAAAAGCAACCTGTTTTTGCCTGCTAACTTTTTTAAGACCTAACAGGAATTGTTTGTGAGAAGCAAACAATTCGTGTTATGCAAGATTATGTTACGTCCTTCAAGAAGATCACAATATTTGCTGCCTGTAAAGTTGCATAAATTTATCACAGCAAAGCTCCAAGTACAAATACCACAATTTAGCATCTAGCCTGTCATGCAATTTGTTTCTTAATATAGAAGAAGCTGCTCCTCAACTCTGAAGTAAACAATAGTTCAAAGCCATTCATAAAACTTTGTTTTTCAAATACTAAGGGAATAATCACTGTAGTAGAGGTCCTGATTAGACCAGGGAACCTGCCTATGACGTGAAATAAAAAGATGAAGCAGAAGCTGGCCTTCCATAAATCGATATGTTTTCTTTTTCATATAATACTCCTGCATCCCTTTATAGTGCTTTTCAAAGAGCAGTTTGTCATAAAGGAAATTGATGAAAACTTATAGGTGGTTGTTAATTACAAAACCTTCAAAATTGAGCTGTACAGGGGGAAAAAGGTATGTCTTGGGAGTTAAATTGCACTAAACTGGCAAAGTTTCACCCACCTATTAAATGCTATTTTCAATATTTAGTTTCACTGATTTTAATGAAACTAAAAATGGGCTGGGCGCATGATATGTGCCCCATTTGATACTATTCAAGACAAATCTGTAATCCAGGTCATGATATTGCAAGAATACTACACATCAATAGAATTTGGGTCTACATAGGAGATGCCAAAATGCAATTTACACTCAGCTCTTCTCATTGTTTGTAAATTAGAAGATTACAATGGATACAAGGATGCCAAAATCTCTAAGCAAATCTGCTTAGACCCGAAACATCAGCTTTCCTGCTCCTCTGATGCTGCTTGGCCTGCTGTGTTCATCCAGCTCTACACCTTATTATCTCACATTCATCAATGAAGCATTGTTTTTTATGACAGATGAGGAAGGTTGCTGTACTCACCAGATAGCATACTATACCTAATTCTAGCTATTTATAAATGGGAGTTTTGACCCTCAAGCAGGACTTCAACTTAAGGATTTCTCAAAGTTGATATACTACACCTGGGATACTGTGACAGCACCTCCCTGACCTGGGACCTCTAACACTGAGAAGCATGAGATCAAGGATCCCATCCAATTCACAAAATCACTTACTTTAAATTATACTACGTTCCTTCATCTCAATCTTGGAATTGCCCAAACATCATTACTATGATGCACAAGAACTTCAGAGGTTCAAGGAGACGGCCCCATCGAGATAATAGGGACGGATAGCAAATATGGTCATGCCTGTGTTGTTCAAATACCAATTTTTTAAAATCCATATGTGTAAGGTTGATTACTGCTTTTCAAAGATATGTTTAAATCATGAGTGTGAATTGTAGTCATTCACAGCTCCCAAACCAGAAAAAGTTCTTGGGTTCTACCTCTATAAGAAATTAAGTCAAAAAAAGCTTAGAAATTACTCATTGCAATTGTGTGGCAGATAGTCTGTAGTGATTGTAACAAGGTCAGCCAGTGGATTTCATGGATTATGATTCCCCTGATTGGGTTTTCTGGTCCAATCAGGGAGCCCTTGCTGACAGATAAAAACAAAAGTGTCAGACATCTTGTTCTCTCTGAGAGCTGGCTCTGAGGGAGCTGGATCAATGTCAAGGACTCTCCATGTGTAAATAAAGGGTAACTTGGCGATAGGATACTAGCCTCCGTGGAGTTACTTCATAGTCGAAAACTACATTGTACTGGATGTTCTTTGGCTTCTCCTGATATTATGGTTTTAGTTGTGGCACAGTGGTAGTGTCCATATCCCTGGAAAAGGAGGCTTAGGTTCAAGTCCCACCTGCTCCAGAAGTGTGTAATAACATCTCTGAACAGGTTGACTGGAAAAATACGTTAAAGAAAAAAATGGCTTTTGTGAACAGGCTGGAGAAAGATGTGACAACTGGAAACAATAGTGGCTTTGTTTACAGTCATATTCATTTCTCCACACAAATGCTCTTAAATAGGTCAGCATCACAATTATGTTCAACGTCTTCTATGAAAGACAGAACTCTCTCAGCAATTAATTACCTAAACTTCTTTTCAGAATTAGATTGCAGAGATCTTGATTCCCAATGAAAAGTGTTCAAATTCTTTTCTGTTATCAGGGAAAAAGTTTGACTACTGCTTACAAAATTTGAATCCTAGTATATTTCTCAAGTGAAAGATTCCAATGAAGGTACCTGGGATGAGAAGTGTACCATAGTTTCAAAGGTTGGAAATAGCTAATATCAAAATAGAGTAGTTTACAAAAGCTGTTCCTACTGACAGTGTAAAAATGCTCCGAAACTGCAGCCAAAATGAGAAAAAAATTGTTGTGGAATGGCATTGTCTGCAATGTGCAGTTGGGGGAGTGGGGTGGGGATCCAAATACCAAAAATTCAAAATTCCCAAGAAGGCACTGTTCCAATGATTGACTGCCGGTTGGATGATAGGCCTGTCCTAAGGTATGTAGAGGATGAACGCTGAGGAAGAATCACCTTTGTCTGTAGACAGTAAAAGAAACAACTGATATTTAGATGCCTATCATTAAAACAAAAATTATTTAGGATTCTATGTTTAGAGGTGAATTATCTATTTACTTGTTTCAAACATGATGATGCAGCAAAAAGTAAATATCATATAAAAAACACATTAAATATCCTGCTATAGAATTTTCAACTGTCAGCATACATACAAAAATGAATTGGATTTCTGAGCCTCTGCTAGCCGCAGTCTCTTGGCATGGTTCTTTCCTTGATAATGTGCCTGTGCCACAGCTGGGGAGCTAAAAGAAGCATCGCAGAGTTTGCAGTAATCATTTGCAGTGGCCAGTATCACACGACCTGCCGTCTTGGAGGATCCTGACTGAATGGAAAATAACATACATCGATAAGGATAATAATGAGGATGACACAATGAGTCTACAAAGGGATATAAACGGGTTGAATGGGTGGGCAAAAACTTGGCAGATGGAATATAATGTGAGGTTATGCACTTTTGCAGAGAAGAATAGAAGAGCTGATTATTATTTAAATGGGAAAGACTGCAAGGGGCTTTGGGAGTCACATGAATTGCATTCAAGTTCAAAGGTAATAGGAAAGACATATGGACTATTGATCTTAAAACGGAATATGTTAAAAAAAAAATGCTTTACTAAAAATATGCAAGGCATTAGTCAAACTATATCTGGAACACTAAACAGTTTTGGTCCCCTTATCTA